CTATAGCAGACAGCGCCGTTCGTACCCGAGGACACAGAAAAAGAATTTACAACCAACTACTCGCACAACACTGGGGACGGGACAGAAAAAAGAATTTTATCAACCCTGAGCACGCGCACTGTGCGCGGCGATGCGCCCTCCCCCCTCGCTTTTGAGAGAGATTTTTAGAAGCCAACAAGAAATGTGTCACACAGAGTGATTTGGGCTCGGCAGCTTGTCGACTACCAGCCGGAGCCGGAGTCGGAACCGTAGCCGAGATGGTCTTCGAGGGTGTCGAATATGTCATTCGCCTCGCTAGTGGAGCCGGTGCCGCATGAGTCGCGGTCGGAGGAGGAGTCGTCGGAGGAGCGGTCGGACCGCTCGCGCTTGTCGCGCCTGATGCGCTCTGCGAGGGGGCCGGGGTCGTGGTCGTCGTGCTCGAGCGTCGGGTAGGTAGCGCGCCTTGCGACCTTGTCGGCCGAACTGCCATCCCAGTAGAAGGTATACCAGTCGCCGCGAGGGTAGAACCAAGCGTTGACCAATCTGTACCGTCCGAGAGCAGCCGCCTGAGCGGCCTGAGCAGCCGCCTGAGCAGCCGCGCGGGCAGCCGCGGCAGCGGCAGCCTCTCGAGCCGCCGCCTCACGCTTGCCTTGTTTCTTCTCTTGCCGCGTGCGCGACGTCTGCTTCTTCTTCTTCTTCTTGGCGCCCGCAGAGTGGGGCTGGCTGGCCCGCCAGAGGTCGTGCTCTGGACGGCTGGGGCAGGGCGACTCACGGGGGGAGGAGGGGGACGAGGGCGGAGGCAGGCACAGCTGCTCTCCGGTGGCCTCGCGTTGATGGCGGAACCCGATGGTTCCGTCGCAGCCTTGCACTGTGCCGTAAGGGTTGTAGATTTCGAGAGGGAAACGGGCCAACGCTTCCGAGAAGGGGAGAGGAAGACTTGTGGAGCGTAAACAGTAGATGAAGTCGACGACGTAGCCGCCGCCGCGCCGCCGCCCGCCCTCGTGGCCGCCGTAGACGCGGCTGAGGAAGAGGTCGGCGGTGCGCCCGCTAGGCGGGCAGGCCTTGAAGAATTGGTCAGAGAAGTGCGAGTGTTGAGGCCGCGCGCAGCAGCCTGTATCTTGGTGATGAGGATCGTGATGATGATGGTGCCCTTGCGCAGCAGGAACGCGCGCATCGCCCGCTGAACGCGGGTCGCTGCGGCTTCCTGTGCGAACCCCAGTCGGATGTTCCGCAGCGTGGAGGTCATTGCTGCGATGTCGTCATGCCCATCTTCTTCGCTTTTGCAAAATCCTGCAAAGGTGGGGACGTGTCTGTCCTCGACCCAGCCCTAGCTTGGGATGTCCGTTGTACTTATTTGTTTATGTACACTACAGAAAAAGAATTGATCGCATCAGCAAAAGAATGAGCGGATAATAGCGAGTAGCACACCTTTGCAACAATGATCAAATTGCAACAATATACCTACAGGCTACAGCAAGAAGAGAGAGAGTCTTCAAAAATCTCTCTCTCTCCCTACAGCACACCTCAAGGAGTCCCCAGAAACCCCGAGGAGTCACATGTACATGCACATGCACACACACAGTCCCTGTGTGATGCACGCCCTGCGAGCGGGGGGTGGGTGGGTGCGCGCTGTACTACCAGTACCTCTCTGTGTTCGTGCGTCGCCCATCTCTCATGGAGATGCTAGCCCATTTATTTCTTTATTACTGGCACCACAAGGTCCAAGAACCTTGGAATAGCTAAAACACAGGAAAGCGTAAAAAGGAATTGCAGGTGCGCGCCCGCGTCCGTTCAACCTGAAGAATGGCGGCGCAAGCAGCGGTTCAACCTGAAGAATGGCGGCGCAAGCAGCGACTGGGGCGGGCGTTGCAGCGGCAAGCAGGCCTCTGCTGGCGCTAGGCGTGATTGGGCCAGACGACCGCCGACGCAGGCAGGCTCACCGCGCGTGGACTGCCGATGCCCCCCGCCTCAGAATG